CAGTGCTGGACAAACCCGCTTAACTGCATAGGATTCCCTGCACAGATAAGCGGGTTTGTCCAGCACTGGGCGCAGTTAAGCGAGTTTGTCGGCACTAGGCTACAGTTAAGCGGGTTTGTCGAGGATACGTAGCAGATAAGCGTATATGGTTAGGAGGTATCGAAACTGGCCAACTAATTACCGAAGTTATTCCTGGAGGAGTACCGCGATCGACGCAAATAAGTTATGAAGGAAAAACAGAGGCGTTGGCCAAACCAATCAGGTAAGCGGGCAAAAAGGCACATGACGTTTGTTTGTTTCTGCGATGTTTCATAATTACTGGGGTGAATAATTATTACATTTCAAGTAGGGGACCTGACCCCGCTCGCCTGCTGCCGACGGCCCGCCCCCCGGCGGCCCGTCTCAGCTGCTGTGCTGCGGTCCGGAGGTCCGTATGCGCGCGATCGGCCTGCGGTGATTTATGATGGTAATATCACATCGGGCAGCTCGAGAGGTGGCGGGGGAGACAGGCGGAGGCGGAGAGTTACAGGGAGGAGGAGGAGGAGGCAGAATGAGGGGGAGCAGAAGTGAGGGGGAGGAAGACGGGGCGAGGGGAGGGGGTGATTAGCTGGTGCAGCTGCACCGCCTGCCCTTCCAGCAGCCGCGCCACACCGCGCGCGCCGCTGCCAAAGCGCGCCCGGCCGTTCCAGCCGTTCACAAAAGATATTATTATTCCTCCATTTCCAAAAAAAAGAAGAAAATCTCTCTCCGTTGCGGCTGGTGCTCAAATCGACATTCAGCCGGGTCGGGGGGAAGGGGGGGGGGGCGTCACGCCAGAGCCAAAGTCCCACCCCTCCACCGACCACCTCCTCACCGAGCACGCCATTGCCATGAAAGGCAAGCTCACGGGATCATTTGCTTACAACGGAAAAGAAATTGGAGAGCGTAGGACAGTGTTATTTAAGTGAGTTTCAGTAATTGCCTGAAAGATAGCAACATATGCATCAACTTGCCGGCGGTATCGTTAATTCAGGGACGACCATAAAATAAAAGTACGATCAAGCCAACACTAATTTGGTCTTAGCCATGTAAAAATTAGTTGTGCTTTGCAGACGAGTCTTTTCTCAATCCTACTCATCTCCAAAACCAACTATGTATTTACTATATGGTCTTGCAGCTGTTCATATTCCCTCTGACCGTTGTTGCCGTGAGAAGCTATGTCGATGTATCGAAGTGGGTAGACAGTTAATTATCGTTAATTTGCGAACACAGCCCGTTGGGTTGGGGTTCCCACGTGAAGTGCTCGGGGCCTCCGCACCGGCGGCGAGGCCTAACCACTGCCACGGGGCCGGTGGGCTTATTACTGTAAATTGCACGTCGGCTGAACTTCACGCCCCCCTCCTCTCCCCTCCCCGTTTCCCTATTTCGTTTTGCGTTGCGTTTGCCGCGTGAGCTGCATCGGGGAAGAGGTGAGGGTGAAGGGGGGGGGGTGCAGCGTGCAGCAGTGGCGTCATGCCTGGCTGCATACAGACAGGCTGCACCGAATAGCAATGAGGGCTGGGTTAGCTAGCAGCAAGCCCCCCT